TGTGTGATCCAGTATTTCTCTCTCTCATACACACACAGGCATTTAGTTGACCCAGATTATCTTCTGCATCTTTACCAGGGACCCACTGGCCCTCTTTTTCTGTTTTAGTCCCAGTTCCCTCATCAAGTGGGTAGAGGCTTAAGGGTTAGTCTGAGTTGTTGTTGTTGTAAAAGAGAGGGCTTTTATTGTTAAGTTGCCTGTAGCTAGAGCTTTGCAAATTATAATGCCCTATTTGAATATTAAGCTCAGAATTAGGACAATACTGTGTAAAGATGGATACTATAAACTGTGATCCCTGCATGACAGAATACAGTGGGCCTAGCTTCCAGTAAATGGGCCAAATGGATCGGCAGCACACGACATTCACATGCAAACTCACAGGCCATATGCAGGCCTTCTGGTCTGTTGTATCTATTTCATGTATTGCTTCCCCCAGCTCCTGTTAAAGCAGGTGGCTTATTTCAACGTCATCTCGTGTATGAATGTAACCGGATGCTGCAGGGCCTTGCTGCAACGCTCTTTATGATCTATCGAAATCCTGGCAACATCGTGCCACCTGGGAGGACTTCTCTATGGTGGTACATGTGCGTGCGTGTCTGAGTATGTGCAAGCCTTTGTTTATTTGCGCGCTGCTGGAAGGGTGATTGTGGCGCCAGAGCTGGTTTCTAATGACATGCAGATCCTGCCGTACAAGATGATATGTAAGATCTAGAGCGCGAGCCGAGGAAGAAGAGGCCGCCGGAGAGGTGACCAGCCTGTGCACGCTGCAGGCTTCCTTTGGGGTGTCCCAGCCACGTGGAAAGGCAAGGGGTAAAGAACGCGAGGCCGGAGCCGTGCACCCGACGCGGACTCCTACAGGCCCCCCTAAAAAGGCAGGTCTTTCTTAAATCCGCAGGATCCTGTGATTAGTTGAAGTCGGGGCGGGGGAGGGGAGCCCCGCTGTCTAGGCGCAGCTACATGCATATTAAAGGTAACAATGCTTACAAATGTAAATAAGGAGGACAGATTGATTAGGGGCAACATTATCGCTGTGAATGCAGCAGCCTTCTTTCGCGTGCATCAGCAATGAGGCAAATTGGGGGCATCCCCCCTCTCTGACCACCCAAGTCGAGACGAGACTTTTACACTGACACTTCTTCCTTTGGAGAGAGAGGGGGGGAAATATCACAGAAACAAGACCAATTAGATCCCCTCGGTAATTCATCTCTTGTGTATAAAACGAACCAGACCACAGGGAGAGAGGGGGCCGGTGGGGTGGGGGCGGGAGGATATTAAGATAAAGCTTGTTAAAACTGAGCCTCCAGATTGAGTTTTGGGAACAACTGTGGGGGTTTTTGGGTTTTTTTTTGAACCAGCTTTTTTTACGCATATAGGAAGGGGGCTTGATAAAGGCGAGAGGGTCCTGCAATGTGGAGTTACGGGAAATAAGCACAAGACGAAAGAAGCGTGAGTGCTCTGTTCATCTTTAGAACTTGAGCCTTTACTATGTTTACTCTGGAGTAAGCCTCATTCCAGGATCGGGACCTCTGGATGCCGCAAGCCATTTGGTTGCTGAGGATGCCTCTTGCAATCCGTAGAGCAAACACTGAGTAAAGAACGCGACACGACGTGGTCATAGTGATATCGCCTAACGCAGCCTTCCCCAAACGGGCATCTTCCAGATGTGTTGGACTACAATTCCCAACACTCCCAGCTAACTGCTTGCTAGAGGATACAGGGAGTTGTAGTCCAACGCATCTGCAGTGCTCGAGGTTGAGAAAGGCGGCCCTAACGACTATAAAGGCTGCCGGTCCTGCACTTCCTTATGATCATCCCGTTTGGTGCAACTACACACGAGCAGGGTTCTTTCCCGAGTCATTCAGTATCTAGCCAAATCTCCGTCTAGGCCTTGATTAGTTTTTGACTTCCAGACTAATTGTTCCCCTCCCCTCCCAGTTTTATTCTCTACATCAAGCACTGGGCATCAAGATGAGGTAACACACTGTAAGAGTGATTTCCAATCCAAGGAGTGGATGTTTTAGTCCGCATTAGAGACCGATATGTACTACATCCACAATAAAAAGCCCCTTCGGTGCGCATTTGCTTCCTCATATTTAACGTCGTTCTGCTTTGCCGCGATGTTTTTCTTATTCGTTTGTTGTTAGGCTCAGGCAAGTAGATAGTACGGCATCGACGCCTCGAGTCCATCAGGGCGTTTTCCAGTTCTGGATTCAAGTGAGAAGTTAGTGTGTAGCTATTTGCTGGAAGGTAGTTGTATGAATGCAGTCCTCCGCTTGCTTCCCTGAGAGTCAGTCAGGGTTTCGAGCATGGTCCTTTCCTACTTTGCACACGCTGGCTCTGAAGCAGGTGCTCTACCGGTGGGCTACATGCCTTTCCCAAGTAAAAGCCCTTGGGGATTACTTGTAGTGTACATGAGGGCAGGATCCGGGTACAGAGCTGCATGTCACAAACCAGCTACTCCGGATTCGTTTTTTAGACTTTATATGGGTCGCATCCTGATTCCAGTCGGCAGCGGGCGGGTTAATAAACCTGTTTTTATTCCATCACGGTGATACTAGCGCCGTCTAGTCAAACCACTACTTAGTTCGACAACCACACCGTTCTCTCCAAATCCTGGGAAAACGTTGTAATCAGTATTAGCCCTACTTAGAGTAGATCCACTGTATTGCACTTAGATTAACAGCAGATTGAACTTATCGGGTAGAACCCACTGCCAGTGTCTGTTCCAAAATAACTGTCTTGCGGATCGTGGCCTTGGGGCAATTCCCATCGCAATAGTAGTGTGTCCCTTAGGGCAATGTTTGCATTACAGCAGGTGGCCGGCCGTGTTTGTGTGTTGTGACTATCGTCTCTTCTGCAGGCTCACAGTTGCCTGTGGAAAGAACAGAACTCCTTTGGATCCGAGCGCTATTTTACGCGTCTGTGCTGGATGCCAAACCAGGCGAGGCGGGAAGGATGAGACCTCCGCCAGAAAACCCTTAGAAAGAGATGGGTTATTCCCACACTGATTGCATTTCAGAGGATGTCTGGAGAGCATGTATTTCGAGGCGCGGGGCGGCAGGCGGCGGGCAGGGTTGCTTCGGACACAACTGCCGTGGTGGCTCATCACCACCCCCAAGATGTAGCCCAAAAGTGAATGGAAACGTCCTCTCCGCTTCCGCCATTGGGCAGACGGAATCGACGCAGCTCGCTATTGGGCAACGTAAAGGGGGAGACCTCCTTTAGGAATGTACTATGGCTTGTCTGGTATTTTTCTCTCCTGGGCTGGTGGAGGGGGGGCGAGACGAGGTGAGACATCGAGTAGCGGCTTCCTTTGCTTGCGCTTAGCGACTAAACCCACGCTCTTGCTCGTGGCTGGATTAGACACTTGAAATTTCCTCTGCTTGGCTTCGGCTCTGTTTGGGCGCCGCTAAGCAAAGGGGCGGCAGCGGTAGCAGCGCCAGATTTCGTGCGGAGGGGAAGCCCGGCCTTGTTTGCACAACCCGCAGCAAGCCAGCCAGTCACGTGAAATCCACAGCCCGCCTCCATGGCCTTCCCCTTTTCTCTGAATGTGCGGTCCTTTCACTCCTCCCGCTTCCCCCCCAGCTTTTCCTTCAATGAATACACACAAGCTTTCTCCTTAAAGGGACACTCCCTCATTTCACTCTTTCAAATAATACCAACTTTTAGCTTTTCGGAGCTGAAACAGGATAGACAGACAGACAGACAGAACTGAGGAAAAGGCAGGTAGCGAAGTACTCCGGAAGACATACGCACGACGCGATGATCTTACGTTCTTTCCTCGGTCAGAATTCTTTCTGCCATGGTCTAAACATTTTGCGCAGTAAGGATAAAAGAACCAGGACAGGCACGTGCGAAATTTCACTAATAACGAACATCAATATAGTAGCATATTAAAACTTTGACCCAAAATGATGACAACATTGACGGGAGCCGTAATTGTGTTAGTATTGTGGGGGAAACTCGTTAATAAAACGCGCACAACCAGCTTTGACATGTAAAACAACCGCGATTGGTTTTTAAATGCACGGAAATGTATATAGCTGGTGTAAACTATCTAAAACGGTCTCTCGTTTTAAAGTATGCGGCCGCTGCACTTTTGTTCTTAAGGATTCTTAAACTGGAATTCCTCTTGGGTTTAAGCGAGCGACTTGGCTCCTTCAAGTTTTAAATCTCTTATTTCAAGTATTAAGGTTTCATTGTGGTCTTTTTCTTAATACAGCCGGCTGTTTTCTTGTTCGGGAACGAAGGCTTCCCTTTGGTTCAAAAAGGGAGAGGGAGGGAGTTCAAGGCTCCGCGCACCGCAGTATCAACCACCCTGTCATTATTTGTGCAAGCCTGGGAATTCAGCTTGGACCTCCCAGTATTCGTTGCAGCTTGAGGCCAAAGTGCCTCTAAAAGGATTTTCTTTTAAGAGCTTCGGAAATCTTTTCGCTTTTCTATCGCCTTTCCCCCCACCTCACTTCGCCTCAACGGAAAAAAAGAAATCCATAGTTTATACTGTTGATCGGGAAGCAATTCTGCAAGTCTTGCTGAAAACAAGCGTCTCCTTTCCCTCTTTCTCATGCTCTTCTCCTGGAACGCGCGCACACAACAACAACAACCCTTTCTTGAAAAGGAAAGACGGGGGGGCAGCAAAAGAAATGAGGGGGTGGGGGAAAAAGAGAAGCATTCCTTAGTGGAAGTATTGCATGCAAAGAAGACTGGATCTCTTTAAGGCTCCCCCGAAGTTGGAGATGCACACACAAGGCTTGCCTGCTTGGGTGGTCTCTCTACTTTGGTGAGCTGTTGCTAAGCAGCTAATAATAGTCATGTTTGCTGAGTAATTTCTGCCCTCTTTGAGCCAATCGCAGCCCAGAAATCCAAGCCATCTGACAGCCCCAGGGGCGGGATTTCAGCTCTTTTCTCTCTCTCTCTCTTTCTCTCTCTTCCCCCCTCCCTTTCACCCCTCCTCCTCCTCTTTATCCAAATGGAGAGAGTTCCTTTTTTCTCTCCCCCTTCTTCATCTCGTCTATTGAAGCGAGGGAGCTGCTGCTGGCTGCCGCATACACGCCGAGGAAGAAAGAGGGAGCGACACACGCATCGAGAGGCGAGAGGGAGCCCGGAGCGAGCTTCAGAGACAGCTCTGTACCCAGACAGAATGATACAGCAGCACGCCGAGACGGAGCAGCAGCAGCAGCACTGAGATCAAGGCTCTCTCCAATCCTCCTTTGCTTTGGCGAGAAAAAGCGACCAGGGGGGAGTCTGGGTTTTCTTCCAGCGGCCGGACGGTGAAGAGCCTGGAGAACAATTCAAGCCGGAGGAGCAGAGAGGTGGGGGGAAGGCGAGCCCACTGAGATTCCCTGGCCCCGCTCGCACTTTCGCACACTGGATGTGGGAAGCGGCCGCGGCGAAGACCTCCGGATCATCACGAAATGTTGCAATGGAAGGCTCGGGGTCTGACTCGCCGGGAGCAGCTACAGCAGCAGCGGCAGCCGGACCAGCCAACGCGGTATGAAGAAGTGGTCTGTCAGCAGCAGCAGCAGAGAATCTCCACCAAGCCAGCCAGTCCCCGGTCCCCCTGGATCCCCCCAAAGCGGCAGCTCCAGCGTGCTGGGGCGAACCGCAGAGCACCCAGCCTCTGGGACGCCAGAACAACAGCAGCGACAGCCCCGGCTCTGCGGCGGCAACATGGCCTCAGCTGTTAATGCCTCGGAGCCGGAGAACGGCGGCGGCGGCGGCTGCAGCAGAGAGCCAGATCGGCCGGGGAGAAGCGGCACCAGGAGGCGGAGAAGGACCGGCGGCGGGAACAGACGCGCCGCGCCGCCCGATCTGGAATATCTGCAGCGGCCGAGCTATTGCGATGCAGGGTTCGCCTTGGAGCAGATAGCGAAGGTGCTTGACCGAGATCTCGCTTCTTCCTTGGCGGAATTTCTTTTTTTCTCCCAAAAGGTGGCGGCGAAAAGGGAAGGATCATCCGTAAAGGGCTGGGAGAAAGTTATACATGTGTGCAGGGGGTGTGTGGATATCCGCGTCTTCTTAGTGGTAGAGAGGCCAGTCCTTCTCCTCCTCCTCTCCTCCTCCGCTGCTCCGGTCTTGTACCCACTTTTCCTGGAGTGTGTGTTTGCGCTTTGCAATCCTTTAATTAAACTTACCCGGGTCGACTTCTGTGTCTCTCTCTCTCCCTCTCCCTCTCTCTCATTCTCTGAGCTCGTTCCTCCTTGGTAATAATAGTTTTTTCCTGACACCCTCTGTTTTTTTTCTTTCTCTCCTTTCATTTACTTGGAATTGATTTTCTGTACATGCACTGTAAAGGTTTCGAACAGGTAAAAGAATCCTTAACGCTTTGCCTTAGTTTCCAGCAATCCCATGTTGCTGTTACCCTCCCGGTTTCTCCTTAAGAATGTACCCTTTCCTTATCACACCGAATGTCGCTTTTCACCTCCAGGGGCAGAGAGGAGAGTGAAAGTCGTAAACAAATTGCTACCTTAAATCTCCCCCATTCTGGTCAAGACGGAACATCTCCCCCGTCCTCTCCCCCTCCCCTTCGACTCTCCGCTTCGCCTTGATCCCCGAGGAAAGCAACAACTCTGGCAAAGTTAACTTTGCAAGACGCAGGGAGGATCGGAGAGAGATGATCGAAGTGAGAGCATCCGTTGCTTTCCTTTATCGATCGTTTTGTTTCAGAGGGCAGAGCTTTTTCTTGTTGTAAATAACTTTTAGGCTTTGGAGTGGAGCGGGGAAACAAGAAACCCATGTGGCTGCCCTCTTCCGTTCGCAAATATTGTCGTAACTTACAGATGTCTGCTCTGCTTCCGAATTCAGATCACAGCGCGTCTCCCAAACCGTATGGCAATACATAAGGATACGTTCAGAATGTTAACAGCCCAGCGGACCACGTGGGGCCGTGCATTTACTACCAGGAGTGAGGCTTAGGAGCCGGGAAAGCAGGCACTGACTGAGACCGTTTGCGGTTAAGCAGGCTTGCCATCCCCTCCCCCAGCAAGCCCTCCAGAGCGGGGGGGGGCGGGGGAATCGCTTTCTCCCTGCCCGCCACCAGTACAGCTTGACAGGTCTGCTTAGATTCACGTGCTTTATTTATTTCTTCCCAACGTGTGCCTCCTTTTTCGGCTTGAATGAATCTTTGGCCAATGGAACCGATAGGAGACGCTTGGTTAGGAGGAGGCAGGGATAGGTTTGCTTAGATAAGGGAGCGTGCTTGGTCTGTCTTACTACATCTGGCTGTGATGTAACCCAGCCGTCTGTGCTGGTTTATGAATAAGGAGAGCTATCAACAGAAACACACCCAGATTTGCGTGGCTCGTGAGCAAAGCCATTAGTGTGTGAGTGAACCTGTGATGGAGGCTGCAGTGTTTTGCAGCCGTGACTGCTCAGTGCCCAGGTCTGTCATTTTACTGACACTATTGGTTCAGTGCAGTGTGCTCTTTTTGAAACACATGCTGCTTTGTGCACGCATATTATTCTAGTGCAGTCACAACACACCCACAGAGGCCAGCATGCTCTGTGCCTGTGATGCTTCACAGGGCCCCTCATTTATACATCTTTCCTTTCATTGCAGGGAAAGGCTACTGGAAGAAAAGCACCGCTGTGGCTAAGAGCAAAGTTTCAGAGACTGTTATTTAAACTGGGCTGTTACATTCAAAAAAACTGCGGGAAATTTTTGGTGGTTGGCCTTCTGATATTCGGAGCTTTTGCTGTGGGATTAAGGGCAGCCAATCTCGAAACCAATGTGGAAGAGCTCTGGGTAGAAGGTAAGATTTGATCTTTATCCTTACTGCTTATGTAGCATCCCTAAATTGCAGGGGACTGAACGTGTTTTAGATCGCACCTTCAAAAAATAAAAATCTTCCCCAACAAAGAGGGAATGGTTGGTTGTTCGGCAGCATTGGCTGGATGCCAGATGGACTGCATAGAGAGCTGTAATCCATTCTGGAGGGCAGTGTTTTGTGAGGTGCAGTTGGAGGGGGAGAGGGAGGGGAACTACAGTGTGTGGTAAAAGGCAAAGAAAGAAGAGACCCTCACTGTGTACCCCACGAAATGGGTCCACTACAATCTCCCTCTGTCTCTGCCTGTGTGTCCTGTGAGGAGGAGATCATGGTGTCAGGGCAGGGGGTGGGTTATGTGAGTTGACTATTTCTTTCCTCTCAACTGCATGAAAGGAAAGTCTGTCTGGAAAGTAGCCCACCCCCTCCGCCATTTTGTGTGTGTGTGTGTGTGTCCTGTTAGCAGCAGCAGCAGGAACAGGCGGAACGTGATCAGCACAGCTCGGTAGGGCTGTGCTTGTGTGTGGTCCTGTTTTTTTGGACAGCTTTCAGCTTTGAGGGGGAAAAACATTTGTCTCAAGGTAAAAAAAAAAGGAAAAGGAAAACTGAAGCACAGACTGGAACACATGTTGGAATGTTTGCAAAACAGATTACTGTTCTCCCTTGGTAGGGGTGGGGGTTCAGTGAATGGGGGGTGGGTTGCTTTTTATTTTTAAAGGCAAAATAGGATTCTTAAACAAGATAAATAAGGCTGGGTGATTTGAAAAAGTAACTGAGCTACATGAACAAATCTCTGCTTAATGGGGCAAAACCTAGGCTAGGTTAAGAACAAGAAGTTTGCATTTATTTGAACTTTTCTGATCTTCATGAAGAGCGTTCACAAAGTAGATTGGGAGACTTGTGCCCTTGTTCTCTGAATCCTTTCATGGCAGTTTCTTAGAAAAACATTTGAATGGATGCGTCCCTGAATTATAAAGCTTTACACAAAAATAGGTATCTGGGATGAATGACTTTTTTTTTGGAATGTGTATCACAGGAAGAGAGCAGACTCTTAGTGCAATCCAGGAGTATTTATTCAGAGGTAAATTCAAGCTGGTTCAATAGACCTTTGCAGCCCTGCTTTCCCTTGTTTAAAGGAGGTCTTACTAGGTTAGTAAAGAGATGTGCTGTAGCATGTGGGTTAATAGGAAGTCTGTTAATCAACATGTAGTTGGTGTGGCTCTTTAAAAAGTGGTGCATGAAAGAGTTTAATAATGATGATACTGTGGGTTTGGTAGTGATCCTTGCAGAGGGACTATATATAGGCTTAGAAAAAGTTGTGATAGATTAAAAGAATTCCAACTGCATCCTATCCGAGACAAAAGGAGGAAGCCTTTATTGCTTCATGAATAGTGAGGACAGAAGAGCAAGAGTCCAATGGCAAAGGTACTGCTAACATGAACAGGAACCATCTTAAAGAGTCTTTAGGAAAGGAAATGCAACAATCTCATACAGTTAAGCATAAAGGAACCATATGTCATTTGGGCAATGATCAAGTACTGCAGGCCTAGTAAAGTAGCTAGGTAATATAGGCAGGAGGACTTTGTCGTGGCTTTGGTGTATTCTATAGCAGCCCCAAATAGTAGAATAGAGGAGTCTTAAACAGGTGTTATATGGGTAGACTGTATGAACAGTCTGGTAAATGGAGGCAGGTGTTTCACACTGGGCCTGGTTGGTAATGGACTATCGGTGTGAATATAAGGCTTTCCAACGTTAAAAGACAAGAAGTGGAGTTCCTCTAATGATTAGAAGATAGGCATGTGTACATGAGGTAGGCCAAAATTTTCAGATGATAGGGTAATGACAAGTCAGGCAAGACTGCAAGAGCTGCAAAATGATATTTTTCAAACTGGGTGAATGAGCACAAGATGGAAGATGCTTTTCAGTGTATGTAGGTATAAAGTGATGCCCACAGGGGCAACACCCCCCTCTCATCTTACCTGTAAATTGTGAGACCAGAACCAGCAGTAACAATCCTAGTGGTCACTTGGATAGAAGAAATCAAACCACTGTACAGTGGCTGCAGAAAATACAATGTAATATTTGGGGACTGAGCTGTAGGAAAGAGATGGGAAATACAATTGCCACTTCAATGATGCTGTTTAATCCTTGGTATGACCAATCATGTTGGACTGCTGTATACAGTTCTGGTGACCACAGGCTGCAAGAAAATTGTAGAACTAGGAGAAAATACCAAAAAGTGCAAGCAAAATGAACCAGGATAGGAACATATTCACTCTGAAGACAACCTGCAACATTTTGAGCTTTTCCATTTAGAAAACAATGCAGCTTAGAGGCAGGGATATCATAGAAGTTAATAAAAGTAGACATGATGTAAAGAGTCTGGATAAAGATATTAGAATAGTCTCTTAGAATACTAGCAGTTTGGACCATCCAATTAAACAGATTGGCAGGAGATCCAGGACTGGCAAAAAGAAGCCCCTCTTGACACGAGACATTATTTTATGGCAGCTTTGCATATGATGGCTGGGAATGACAGGAATTGCATTTCAACACATCTAGAGGGCCCTGTGATGGAGGAGGGTATTTTATGGACTGCACAGCCACAAAACATGGGAAAGACCACAAGTGTAGACAGAGCAGTAGGCAAATTCATGGAGGAAAGATTGCATATAGTCTTAATTACTAATGGCCGATCTTAGATTGTTTGGGAGCAGCAACAGGAAGGAACTGTTGTCTTTACATTCTGCTTGGGTATCCCCAGATGGAACTGTTGGGCCACTGTGATGAAACTGGATGCTGGAATAGATGGACTAGTGGTCTTCTCTGGAAGGATACTTCTTATGGTATTACAATTAGCATAAAGATATAAATGTGGGTGTGGAAGCCATGGTAGCAGATAACTTTAGAGGTTGATTAAAGTGTTGCTCCCTAGTTTTTATAGGCTGTGCTTTTATTCAGAACCCTTCAGTATTTATTGTGTACACCATTCAGTTCTTAATTTACATTAGGTTAAACTCTTGGGCAAATGTCAAAATTCTGTTTCTCATTGTCTTACGCTGTGGTTTTGAACTAATTTGCATGTTCATAAATCTAGTTGACGTCAACTGGGCTTACAAGAAGGCAGAAAGCTGTAGGTCTGAATTTGACTTGACTTGGCTGACTTGAGTAATCTGTCACTCAGGACTGCTGGCCCCATCTCTCACCGCCTACTTTTCTTGACATTTTAATGCCTGCAACGTCCTAATTACTGTAGTGACCATTCCTCTGTGACTGAATGCATAATATAAATATTACACTTGGGAGAAGAAAATATGATTTACAAAATAACTGCCTGGTTCGCCACTGTTCTTACCTCTTCAAGTTACTCCTCTACTTCTTTCAACTATCAAAGCTAGATGAGCTTGACCCTCAATAATTTCTTTTATTCATTACATTTAGCCATGCTGTCTTATGCAGTTTATTATCGCAGTAGGACATGTAACATAAAAACTGTAACTCTAAATTTAGACATCCATGTGTCTCTAAGAGGGGTATTTGAAACAACCAAACACTTCATTTAAATGTGTTCCCACTCATGTTCTCCTGCTCTGCCCCAGGCAGCAACAGCGAAATGTCTGGTGATATTATGTGTGTCTTTGCCCCTCAGTAGACAATGCTGTATAAACATCATGGCCTTGAACAGGAATGATATGCAAATAAACTAGATGAGTAGCAGTTGCATATTTCCATGTATAAACATAAGAGAGTACAAAGTGGAGAAGTTGGCTTGGAAAATGTATAGCTCTTTGTTTAAGTGCTGAAAATGAGCAAATCCATGTTTGTTGTGGCTCTCTGCATGGACTGGGAGGATGTAATTTAGTCTTTCCCAACCTGGTGTGTTCCAGATGTTGAGACTTCAGCTCCCATCATCCCCAACCATGATAAGAAATGGTCAGGAATGCTGGGAGTTGGAGTCCAAAACATCTGAAGGGCACAGGGTTGGGAAGACTGGTTTAAGGCACTGGGAATATCCTGAATACAAGTTTCTCTCAGATGAATGGAAACGCTTGGGTAGTGTCCATTCTTTTGATTAGAGCTTGCACTGTCCATGATCCAGTATATCACTCTGTGATCTGAAGGATGACCACACCTGCATTTAGGCAAAAGAAAAGTGTTTGTGTTCTGATGCCCAGTGAAGCTTTCTTTTTCATACAGGCATTACAGTATAACTAAATCCGGATTGGACTGAAGCACCATACTCAAGATTACATGGTGCTATCACATATTTCAGGGGGAAGAGGGCAGGGAGGGAAGTCAGATGCTTTTAGGCATGTCACCTCTTCATAGTAAAATGCATGACTCCAGATGTGAAAATAGCTAATTATTTCACCAAGGAAAAATGAACAAGTTACTTGTATGCACCCGAAGTCTGAAAAGAGGAAGCATAATGTATTTGTGTTCTCTCCTTTTACGTAGTATGCAGTGTTGATTTTAGGGAGACTTAGCCTGTCTTAGCTCACAGGAGAGTCAACAGGGTGGAAGTTTTTCAACCCTTTTTGGTTCTTGTTGTTGGGTAACTTACTAATCCACATAAATGTGAGTATAAAATAAGGGAGTATGGAGTTAATTGTTCACATTGATTCCTTCAGCCAAAGAGATGCTGTATGGAAAGTGGAGGGCTGCCCTCCTGAAGAAATTCTAGTCCCACTGAAAATTCTGGAATAATCCTAGAGGTGACAGCTCCATCTTATTAACCTTGCTTCTAATGGAAGCCCCTTTCATTTCAGTGAGGCGGCTTCCCAAGGGAGTGTGCATAGGATTGCGCTGCAGATTGATTAAGCCTTGAGTGACTCTGTAGATGTCATAGGACTAGTCTGACCTACATGATAACTCTTCGAGCCACTTTGGAATGGTCTGTTTAGTTCCATCAGAGTAAGGCACTAAAAAGGCAATGCAGAGGGGTGGGGACACCTCAGAGACTTATCACTAGTGCTGCTTCTCTCTCC